TTTCCGTCCATTCCAACAACTAAGAAATAGTGAGAAGAGTTGGGACCTCAGAAGGCTTTTAGGACCAATTAGTAGGCTCTGTGTCCAGGAGAAAACTAATATACTTACCAGTAATGTTAATGCTCACCCACAGCTCTTTTGGGAGGATCTAAATCGTTGAAGTATTTGCAACTTTTTGAGAAAGCACCACACCACTCTCCACAGTGGTTGCACCATTTTACACTCCCACCAACAGTGAATAAGGGTTCCAGTTTCTCCACAACTTCACCAGCATTTGTTGCTTGGCAATCACTGTTTTTTGTTCTTTTGGTTTTTTTTAAATTTTTTTTAAATTCTTTTATTATTTGTGTGTGTGTGTACCGTCAAATCGGATCTGACTGGTATAGGAGGAGATTGCCCCTCCTTCTCCAGCAGAGCATCTAGTGGATTCGAACCACGTACCTCTAGGATTACAGTGCAACTTCTTGCTACTAAGCCAGCAGAGCTCCCTGGCAATCACTGTTTTTAAGCAGCTTCATAAGAATGAAGGAAGAAGAGCCACCTTGGATAATTTTCTGGTATCTTGTGTTTAGCAGGAAAATCCTTGAAGAAGAAACCCAAACCTTTTGGCCTGCTACCACTCCTTTGTTGTTGGCCTGTATATTGCTATAATGATGGAAGTTATACCACTATTACTTAAAATACTATCAGGATCCCCCACTGCAGACAGATTTCAGTGGAACTTCCAGATGCAGACAGACTAAGAAGCAGGATTAATTATCCACTACTGGAATAACCTATAAAAGCAGTAGAACTTTAATATAGTGCCAGATGATAAGCCCCTCAGTTTGGAAGGCACCCAAACTGCCTTTCTAAAAATGGGAAACAGCTTCCTCCTCAAAGCAGAGTCTACCTTAATGCAGTGGATGGAATAAAGCTTTCACCCAGTAAAAGACCTTAATTTACTGACGTTACAAGACTCAAAATGAGCAGAAACAGTGGTAAACAATCATTAATAATTGCAGCGTGGGATGTACTAAGTTGAAAACTATAAAAAAATGAATGTATAAAAATGGACATCCTAGACACAGTAAGCATCTTAATTAGCTAAGACAGCCTGATGTTGGCCATTTTGAACCAATATGGTCTACTATGCTAATGACAAATTGAAGAGGAATGGTATTGCATTCATTGTCAAAATGAGCATGTCACAGTTTATCCAGAAGTACAATCCTGTCAGTAATAGGATAATATCCATACGCATAGAAGGAAGATCTGTTAATAAAACTACTATTCAAATAGATGCAAACCACTAAAGCCAGTGATGGAGAATTTGAGGCTTTCCCACCAGTTGCTCTGCAGGATAAAGATGGCAGGCAAACTTCTCCCCTGTGGTTTCAACCCAGAGGCTGTAAAAAAGAAAAAAAGCTGTGAGAGGATCAGCTATGAGTTGCTTCTGACTTGATGGCACCTAACAACGATACCTTTTGCAGTCTAAAATTTGTCAAACATGCAATCAAAATGCATTAATAATAATTGATAACTGGAATGCAAAACTGTAAACAAAGAAGTAGTACTGGAAAGTATGGTGACAGAATGAAACCAGAGATAAAATAATTGCATTTTTAAAAACCAATGGTTTATTAATTGCAAATACCTTTTAAAGAAAATAAATGGCAACTATATACACGGACCTTGCCTGGTGGAATACAGAGGAATTAAATTGACTCCACCTGTGGAAAGAGTCTACAGAGAATCTCAATATCAGCAATCAGAATAGTCCAGGAACTGATTGTAAAACGGTAATTGATTACTCATATACAAGTTCAAATTGAAGCTGAAGAAAATGCAAATACATTAGTAAGATCAAAATATCACTTTGAGTTTCTCTCACTTGAATCTAAAAACCATTTCAAGTATAGATTTGATATCTTTTTTTAAAATTTTATTATTTTTTGTACATGTACTGTCAAATTGGATCTAACGGGTACAGGAGGAGACTGCCCCTCCGTCTCCAGCAGAGCATCTGGTGGACTCAAACCATGTACCTTTGGGATTGTAGTGCAGCTTCTTGCCACTAGGCCATCAGAGCTCCCTTAGATTTGATATCTTTTTAAAGTTACCAAAATTATCAAATACCTTTGCAAGTAAACCAGTATAAAATAAATATTAAAAAATACCAAATAAGTTGTGAATGACAAGGATATCATTCCTAAAAAAAAGCCATATATCATTAAACAGAAATAAATAACAAAATTGATGTCAAATAATACTCTAAAATTTTATTTTCAACATAGAGAAGCCAAAATGAAAGGAAGGAATGCTGCAATAAGAAACTGAACAGAAGATCTCAAAGAACAGGTTTGAGAAGACATGTTGTTGTTGTTGTTGTTATGTGCCATCGAGTCACCTGTGACTCAGCGATCCTATGTACAACAGCCCTAAACCCTGTTCTATCCTTTGCCAATCTTATTGTCTCTGACACACCCATCTCCATTACCCCAGTGATAGAATCAATCCATCTCATCAATGAGGGTCTTCCTCTCCTGCTCTGTCCCTGCACTTTCCCAAGCATGACATTCCTCTCCAAGGACTGATCCTGCCTTGTGATTTGTCCAAAATATGTTAGACAGAACTTCAGAATCCTTGCCTCCAAGGACCAGGCTGGCTTCACCCTCTCCAGGATGAACTTGTTTGTTCTCCTAGCAGTCCATGGTATATTCAATACTCTTCTCCAGCACCAAAGCTCAAAGTCATGAACTCTCCCTTCTATTATCCCTAGTCATTGTCCAGCTCTCTGATGCAAAACAAGTAATTGCAAAGACCATGGCCTGGATCAGGCACACCTTAGTCTCTAGACTGATAACATTGCTCTTCAATACTTTGGAGAGGTGTCTGACAGCAGACTTTCCCAATGATAGCAGACTTTCCCAGTGCAATTCATCTTTTATTGGTACCAAGAATGTTAACTGTAGAGCCAAGCAAAATGAAGCTGTCAACAATCCCAATCTCTTTATCATCCATCATGATGCTGCCAGTCAGCCCAGTGGTGAGAATCTTTGTTTTCTTGATGTTGAGTTTCAATCCATATTGAAGGCAGTCCTTGACCTTCTGCAACAAGTGCTTCAGGTCCTCATCATTTTCAGCAAGCAGGGTTGTATCATCGGCATAACAGATTGTTGATGAGTCTACCTCCAATCTTGATGCCACACTTCTCCTTATAGAGCGCAGCCTCCCAGATAATCTGTTCTGCATATAGATTGAAAAGAAATGGAGATAGGACACATCCTTGACACACACACTTCCCAGTTTTGAACCATGCAGTGTTTCCTTGCTCTGTTCTGACGACTGCCTCTTGGTCCAAGCATAGGTTTCACATAAGTACAATTAAGAGTTCTGGTATTCCCATTCTTCTCAGAGTTAGCCACAGTTTGTTGTGATCCACACAGTTAAATGCCTTTGCATAGTCAATGAAACATAAACATTCCTCTGGTACTCTCTGCTTTCAGCCAAGATTCATCGGACAATTAGCTATAATATCC